TGGTAGATTAACCACTCATATTGCTCTTAGTTCACGCAAAAGAGTTTTGAAATTTGCAGAGCAATTATTGACAAAGATAAGAACTTTTCTCCTCTAATATGAAACATTTTTTTCATACGAGTCGAAAATTTAATATTCATAAGACAGTTACAGAGGATAATGTCCAAGCTTTTCTGTTATACGCATTTATAACTGGTAACAGTTCCACCTTCTTTTTCAATTTTTCAATTACGATGAGTTTCAAACTTTCGGTAGGTAGGAACCAATTTTATTGGTTCTTACCGCGACTGTTACATATACCACGTTAATATCCAATAGTTAATCCGAATTTATATGTACCTAAAATACCAAAAACAGATATTGAATAAAATTAAAAGTTAATGCGATTGTTTTTTAGTCCATGTTTTATACTTTGGATTCCATGATCAAAATAACTATCATACTTTTGTTATAGTATTATCTTTTAATAACTTTGAAATTCCCGCTAAAATGTTAACTCATATTAAAACGTTTACATGCATTTCTTAATCCCAGAGTAATTCGACTTGACGAATCGAATAAAATAATAAATGATCATTAGCTGAATGCGAATTAAAAATGCGTTTACATGCACCTAACTCACGGACTAGGTAACTCAATGCGCATTAACTACTGTTACATTTAAACGTGGTAATATTCTTTACTCTTTTTCTTGCCGTAACAACTGAAAAATATCCCTTTTAAATATCAAAGTTTTGTCAAGTGAATATTGGATGAAGAGGAAAAATGCATCCATATTAAAAACGTCTGTAAGATTGTTTTTTTCTTAAAAATTCAGCAGTTAGGCCAGTAAGTTTGTCCAATCATTTTCAATCATTTTCGTACATTACGGCAACCCATGACACCTACGAGTACATCGTTTTTAACATAAAAGACAAGTACCTGAAGTACCTATATAATAGTTAATAATTCATTTATTATATTTTATTAAATATTAAACGTAATGATTTTTATAAGTATTTGTATTTTAAGTAATGACCACAGCAGGCAGCAGCTAGCCTTCCTAAACGTTAAGCATTTTTAGATCGAGTCTTTTTAGTGGCCAAAAAAAAACCCCCCGGTAAAATACAATTAAGGATGTTCAATTTATACTTTTCTCCCAATGTTGCCATATTTAATAATATTTTCGAACAAATTGTCTAGATAAATAGCGAAAATGAAATGTATATAAAAAGTGTTATGACCTTACAAAATGGCCTAAGTCGTGAAAAAGTTGAAAATGCGTTTTTAAAATTAATGAGCTACGATAGAACAAGGTAAAAAAAATATGATTACTGAAAAAAAATTAAAAATTAAAATTAACTAAATTTAAAATAGTAAACATTAAAAATTAATATACTTGTTACAAAATTTTGTTAATTTATTAAAATATTTAGAATATGTGGACTAACGTTAGTCAGGAATTGACATATTATAAGATAATTTATTACAATTCATTATTTATAATATCCCATTATTTATATAGTCATATTTTTTATAGGTTAATATTATTATAACTAATGAACATAATTTCAAATATTTTTACCACGCATTTTATTTATATTTTATAATGAGTTATTTTAACAATATACCTATTACCTACATTATTATTTATTTTCATACTACAAGTTTCAGTTAAAAACTTCAATATACTGAATGAATTGTTGAGTTCTTTGTGAGTTTTAAGTTTTTAGTTCTCAATTATTTGACCAAAAAAGTTACCAAACATTACCAGTCATTTAATGGTCTTAAAACTATCTATTAATAACTTGTGGTCCTCAAAGCATTCGGGCAATCTATATTGATTAAGTATACTTAATCAATTTATATATTATATAATAGAAAAAAAATATATTGCAATATAATATGATAACTATTTTTTTTTTTTTACATTTATTTTATTTACCTTAATTTAAAAGCATCATAAACTATAAAAATATGATATTAATAATATAATATTAACATATAATAAAATTATAATTTTAATAATCTAAGGAACTGTATTAAGTATTTAATAAACTATTTGTAAAGTAGATACCTATATAAAAATAACAAAAAATAAATGTACTGCTTACTTAATTTTTGAGTATAACCCTGTAAATTAAAATACTTATGGGTACTTAACAAAAAAAATATAAACTTATTCATCGCGTAATTATCCACAGCATATATATGATCTGTATACGTAGGTACTATTTGCAAACCTCATCGTCATTTCCACGTCCTACGAAGAACATAACACCTGCAGTAGTTACAATAATTAGGGTCATGAAAGTGGAGAAGCCTGGTAAAATTCTGGGGTACCCACATATTAATTTAAAATTATTCTGATAAAAAAAAAAAAAATTGAAAACTTGACGTTTTTACTATGTACGAGTATAGTCACTATAATAACTATTCAGAATGTATTCAAATATAGTTCAAAAAAGCTTACTATCTATTTAGGTCGAAAACAACATTTTCATTGCATTTTTATTTTCTTAAATACCTATTAGCTAATAGCTTATTAGTTAATTTTCTTAGCTTGCCAATACGTATGTTCCCTAATATCAAGATTTTTTAAAGGTTATTAATCATCAAAATAATAATATTGAATTGTTTGTAAATGCTATATGGTAATTTGACTGATGAACAAAAGTATCTAGTAAGTTATGAAAGTTATTATAATAATCTTTAATAGATTCTTGTACAACCATGGATTCCCCCTACTACATATGCATATCTAATATAAGATCAAAATAAAAAAAGGAAATTAAAGTTTCAACATCAATGGTTTAGTAGTTATAACTAGTTGGTTTTCAAAATATGTCATGTAGAAATATTACAAAAATTTAATGAACATGCAAGATTTGATTGCCATAAACTTTCAGTTACAAAAGCAAAAGGATTTTTAAATATTAATTCAAACAAAACATCATCAATAATGACTGCTTTAGATAATGACTGATTTGGAATAATTTAATTATAACTATACTTTTGCTAAAAAGTATTACATGCAAAGACCAAATTTATATCAATTTTAAGTAAATGCATGCATCATTAAGTAATACATTGTTAAAAATATTTTATTAAAATTAAATAGTAGATACATTGGTGATATAAATAGAAAAAAGTACGATTTAATGTAGTATGTTAATTAATTGGTAAATTCCTTTTTATGAAGCTGGACCCTTCCCATAGAAAATTCCTAGCTACGGCTCTGCTTGGAGAGTAAAACACGCATTCAGTTGGGAATTTAATGATTCATTAATATTAATTGTACGCATTGTAGAATTCGAAAATTCAACCCAAATAGATAGAGAAAATAAACTGTTAGCATTGTAGCAATCACAGATGTTTCTAAGAAGTAGTCATTCAAAAAATGCACGTGTTCTATCATTACCTGGATGAATTGCTTGATGTCTGTAAAACAGTTGTCTACATAATTTGAATTTAAAATTGACAGTCCAAAACAAAAGTAATTTTTAAAATATTCCACTTTCTATTTTTTCTTTTTTAAAATGTGCATAAACTGTTTGAATTTTTCTCCATATGCTCTCTCCTAAGTAAAAAACGGTATCCCTTTCTTATTACATTTGAAAAACTAAAAGTCCAAAATACATAGATAGTTCAAAATCAGTGTAAATTGTTTTTCACGATAAATTTGAGTTTATTCGTTCATATTTATTAATAGTGACTAATAATACGTACAACGATTTAGTGTGATTGGTAAATATTCCTAAATATATGATAGTTACTATCACAATCTAAACATGGCGACCACCGATCAAATAATGACAAAAATTATACATACGTATATATTATTGAGTACTTAATACTTTATTATGTATTATACAGTATATATAAATATATAGTAAATATTGAACTTGTTACTTTGGCAAATCAGCTAAAATGTAAAACAGCCAAAAATGAATATACAATTTTGATCAAGAAGTATCTCTTCACTCTATAGTAGTAATGCAAGATTTTAATTATAAAATTGTTATCATAGATACACAAGGTCAGGATCATATTTTATTAATGATGGAATGGAGTAGACAGGTTATGCATATTTTATAATTCGTTATTTTATTCACATATTATGTATGTAATTTACTCAATTACAATAAATACACAAATCCAATCCATATTCATTAATGAAAATAAAAATAAATTTCTAATACAAATATACAATAATTTATTTTAATATATTAGTTAAAATTTACATTATTCTTTTGATACATTTCAATTTATATCAATAAACTAGTTTTTATAAAAGTAAAAATATTTTCTAATAGATTATCTAATAGGTCCCCTTATAATAAAGTATAAAATGAGTAGTATTTTTACAACAAAAAAAATAAAGTATATTTTTCTCACAAAATATTAATAGCTAATCTAAAGAATTCCATATGATTTTTTCTCAGTATTAATCTTTAATAAGAATTAAATTAAATATTTAAAAATAAATGCCTTTAATCTTGTTACAATCTAGGTAATTATTTTACATTTATATTTAATTTACAGAATTTTGATTTTAATTTTTATCAGAATATTGTGTGAATAATCAAGAAAAGTTTTTAAATATTTATGAAGGTAAAAAAAACATATATAAAGAGTAAGGTAACTATTATTATTTATCATTTCAGATAAACTATACATACATTTTAATTATTCACTTAATAGAAAATACAACATAACTATTAGTGTTTATTTTTTATCTAAGAATTTTATTATTTTATTGATATTATATAGTAATTTAATATTGGTAAAATGTATTAAAATATATTTTATTGCTTACATTTATCTTTCAACGGAAAAGATATCTATACATTATTCTTATTTCAATAATATGATTGGAACTTAGAGTATTAAATATAAACATTAAATAGTACATCATAAAGCCAATTTTAACTCCATACAGCATAAAATATTAACTTTATTCTTGAAAAAAATACTTCTTTCTATAATTCTATAACCATCTGATTCATAAAATATAATTATTATTTTTCTTCTCCTGATGTTTCATCTGTAAATAAATTTTAAAATAAGAATAATCGCAGAAAATATAACAATTATTTTTAATTTAAAAAGTTCAGAAAATACAAAAACAACCTTTAAAGTTATATACATTATACGTTATACCTATATAAATAAAATTATATAAATAAAATTGTAGTATACATAAATATCAATATTTACACATTTTTAGAACATTACCTTCAGTAAAATGTATACGATTCGTTTTTATTGGCATATTAGTTTTATTACCAAAATTAAAACGTATTTTCGATTGTTTGATCAAAATATTTGGTTTAGGTACTTCAGGTTGACTAAATTGAGTTGAAAATCCAAGTCCCATCTTTTCATCTCTGACATCCATTGAAATCTAAAAATATATGAAATAAAATAAATATATTTATGTTGTGATAAAATGCATAAAAATTGCCATATTTATATTACCATTAGTATAAACTACTAATACTAATTTCTAAAACTTACTATACAAAATACATAAATAATAAAAATGTATACTCTTTAATAAAAATTAAATGTTCACAATAATAAAATTATTAACATAAATCATAAAATTAATACAAAAAACTTCTATTTTTATATTTTCTATTTAGAAATAATTTATAACATAATATAATAATTTAAATTAGGTAATATTGAGATAAATAAGTACACTAAAGTTATTATTCAAATAGTAAATAATTGTTTGTATAAATTTAATATATTTTATGTTTTTAATTTTAAAACTTATTTTATGAACATTAGATATATATTAAGATAAATAATGCTTTAAGAATTTCATACTGTTTTATGTGATCTTAGCACTCGTGGTATAGATTTGAATCATTCAAATAAATAAATAGATCATTAAGACATTAAGATATGTACATTTATAAATGTATAATAGTTATTACACTAAGAAGTTTACTGAGAAACTGGGAATGGATTAAAGGTTTTATGAATAAATGTTTGCTTAAGTAATGAACAAATTTAATCAATACATAACTAATTACAAATGTACTGAAAATGAATATTTTATGTGAGAAACAGTTCTACAATTCTAGACCATAAACCACATTCAAGATAGATTCAGCATATTTTAAACAATGTTAACAGTATTTGGTTTTAGAATTTTTATTGCAATGGTCTTTAATATGTATTGATAATAGAATACAATGTATTATATAACTACAGTAAAACTTACTTAAGATGCTTTACCCCATGAGACGCTATTTTCCATTGGTCCCTAGACATTTCCTATACAAGTCAATATAGAAACCACCTGGTAAGACGCTCGGGTTTTCTCTATCTCATCAGATAAACCACTCTTTTGTTTAACAGATTATGATAATATTTAGTAGTTTTGTACAAATAAAAATAGAAATCGTACTCATTTGCTTATTCTTATTATTTTATTTTATTGCTATACCTATTTTATCATTATCTATTATAACAGTTTTACTGTATTCTGTCGGATTATGAGATTTATTAAGTGGTTTGCAACACCTATCAGAAATTCAAAAAATATTGGTTGTCTTAACAAAATAGAAAACTTTGAGATGAAACGTATTGTCAGGATCGTAAGCAAACAAAAATAAGATCATTTTTTTAATAAACAATAATAAAATATGTAATTTTTTTTTTTTAAATTAAATTTAGAAGCAAAAAATATATGTATGTATGTAATTATAATTAATATATAAGTATATTGTCCATTAAATTCAGTGTTGGGTAGTAACGTAACGCAATTACTTTTTGAAAGTAATTTCTATAAAGTAATGCACTAAAGTGTTATTTAACACATTATTTATTAAAATAATAGTTTTGAATGTATTACAAAAACAAGCCAATAAGATATTCCAAAAAAAATTAAAAATCAATTTTATTTTTGATTCTGATAATGTTAAATAACTTGCATTATTGTTGTATTTAGTATTATAAACATATGTAATTTGAGTTTAAATGTTTGCAATTAAATTGAACTAGGTACTTGAATTCTACAATAGCGGTTATCAAACGAAAATTAGACTTAAATGTATTAATTGAGTTGTGCATGATACTGTGGTGTATACAAAATTAAAAGTGTTTACAAATAGTGTATAAATTTCTGTCCCCTTCTAAGACATTGAAAGTAAAATTGTGTCCATGAGCTAGAATAAGCAATTCCAACAATATATGCTACATAACAAAACGATGCACAAATATTAAGCATTAATGAATTAAGAATAAAAGTATAAAAACAGATTTTTTTATTATCAGATACAACGATCAACAAACAAAATGATTTTTATTTTTATAATTTTATTAAAAGTTAAAAAAAAAATAGTCAATGATTTAATTTGAATTATAATTATAGTAATATTATTACCTTTTTATTTTCCCCCTTTTTTTAATGTATAAGCAATGCTTACATGCACACTACACCCTTGCTACTTGACTCATTTAATATTTAGGAATTTTTTTAAAACCAAACAGTTAATCTCTGCATAGATTAAGTTCTGTTTTAATAAATATATAGTTTTGGAAAATCATCATTAATTAAAGTAAAGATATAGATGGTAAAAAAAAACAAACTATTATTGTATACATTTATGAAATTGACAATAAATAAACATTAATGTTAATAAACTATAATTATTAAAATATTAGAACTATTTATGATTCATAGAAATAATTTATAATGGATAAAATATCATCATAGTCATTAATATATAAACTTAAATAAAATATATAATATTACAATACATACAGGTTCTTTAATTCCAGAATTACTAGATCCCAAAGACTTTCCAGGTGTCCAACCCATATTTTCTAATAATTTGAAACCTTTGTTTTTTGTAGGAATTGGCCTAAAATAAATCAAATAATTTTTATTTAATTGTTAACTAAAGATTGAAAAATGTTGTTAAGATTTAAAATAAAAATAAATTAATTGTGAAATATATTATAAATACTTAAAAATATTTGTTTATTTTCATATTAAGTTATTTATAAAAAAAATTACAATTTCACTTATTGAATCGTAATATGAAAACCATTTAAACTTTTAGAAATATTTACAATAAAATAATCAGAGTAAATTTTAATTAATTATAAAATTTATGAAAACTTACTGTGTAACACAAGCAACTTCAGTTTTCTCATTTGCATTTTGAGATCCAACAGTTTTTCTTCTTTTATCAGCTCTGTCTTTATATCCCTTAGGCAACACAGCATCTGGTGGTTCACAGCCAAGCAATCCATATTTTTCTTTTAAACTTTTTAATTCATCATCAAATTTACGTTTTTGAGGTACAACATTTTTAACACCTTAAAATTTTTTTTTTTATTATTATTCATAAAAGCATATTTGCAATCTATACAGAAAAGTACAATAAGTAAATTGAATAATATATTAATATTAAAGACAACTTGGTTAGCTAGAGGGAGGGAGAACCGTCTATCAACAGTACCTCCTGTTTAATTTGGTGGATTCATGTAAAGATGTTTTTTTTTTCCTATTATACAAGAGCATTTCTTGGCCATTGTATTTTTAATCTCTTTGAAGAGTTGCTGGGGATGGTTATAAAAGACATATGAGAAATAAGAAGGTTTTGGTTTTAATATAATTTTAAGTAGAACTTTTTTTAGTGTTGAGATGCTAATTCATTGACTGTTGAGATTTGTAAATCCTTATATAGTACGTCATTGGTCATATACCATGGGGCTCCAGTTATTTGTCTAAGACATATTGTTTGGAAGGCTTGTATAGGTCTTATATTAGATGGTTTGGCTTGACCCCAGATTTGGATATCATTTGACCAAATAGGGGTAATAATTGTCTTGTAAATTAATATTTTATTTTTAAACTCATTGAGATAAAAATGGATGAAGGAGATTTAGGCGTGCGTTAAATTGTTTTCTTTTAAGTTTGGCGAGTTGGACCCAGGTAAGTCTTCTGTCTAGGTGAACTCCTAGGTATTGAATTACATTTTTGATAGGAATTTATACATTGTTGAGTGATAGTTGTGGACATTCTTTTTTACCTAGAGAAAAATTTATTTGAACCAATTTATTATCATTTAACTTGATTTTCCATTTTTTGGTCATTGTTTGATACTAGTATAGCGGTATCATCTGCATATGTTGCTAGATTAGTGTAGTTTGTTTTGGGGATATCTGATGTTTAAATATTATATACTGCAGTGTTTCTCAAACTGTGGGTCACGACCCATTGGTGGGTTGTAGGTCAATTTTTGGTGGGTCGCTAAAGATTTTTCAGGGGAAATTTGGGTCGCGGTACTAAAAAGATTGAGAACTGCTGTTATAATATATAGTATAAGTTAGTGGCTCTCAACCTTTTTATGCGCCGGTGCATTTCTTATAACTATACAGTTTGACGGAACAATATAGTAATAAAATAATAAAAAGCAAACAAAAAAAGGCATTTTTATTTTAACTATTATTTTTTATTATGAATATATTATATAATTAAAAATTAATACCTTATAACACTATAAGCATATACCATGGTTGCAGCACACCTACAGCCAGTTTGCGGCTCACAAGCGTACCGTGGAACATCAGTTGAGAAACACTAGTATAGGTGATTAATCGCTTCCTTGGAGTAACTCCCACATTGATTTTATGATGAGGAAAGTAAAAATTATTATATTTGACAGTGAAATATCGATTTTAGAATTAAGAAATATGGAGCAGGTAGAAATGATTTTAATTTGAACAATAGACCATTGTGCTAAACACAATCAAATGCTTACACGATATCTAGGAATACACCTGAACAATGCTCTTTTTTCGAATGATGCTGATATTTTGTCAGTGATTCTATGTATTTGGTGAATTGTCTAGTGATATGATCGAAATCCAAATTGATTAATTGGAATGATATTTTTTTATCTGATAATAGGGGTTATTCTTTTAAGAAGTAATTTCAATAAAATATTTAAATTGTTAACTTTTACTTTCATATTGTGTATATATTTAATTTTATAATTCCTAACATAAAACAAAAATATTAAATAAATAAACTATAATGATATACATAATATACTTCACAATAGCATAATTGATTTTTTAGTAGGTATATAAATAAATATTTATGTGAGCTTTATAAATCATAGCAACCTATAATCATTATATTAAATGCATATAATATTAGCAATTTAATTACTTACATTAATTTGACAGAATTAAAATGACAATAAAATAAATTTTTATTTATAGGGTATAAATTAAATGTAAATATAATTCTCAAAATAGACAAGTCAATTGGTTTTACGTTGATAAAATATCCCAGTTTAACTAGATATCAAGAAAAATAATTCTGGTTCAGATAATAAAAAAAAAATACCTTTTTACATAGTTATAATAATTTTTTCACATTTAAAAAATACTAAAATTATTTGTTCTATAAAAATATTTAATTTATTATTATCTATTATCATTTATTACTAATATAAAACTAAATAAAATGTATACATACTTTCTTCTAGTGGAGGAGCTTGTATACCAGGTTCACACAAATTACAAGTTTCCATACCATCATGAATATGACACAATAACTTTGTGTCACCTACAGTAAGTTCACTGCCATGAACTAAATGACGAGGTTCACTCGAAGATGAATGCTTTGAAAGTTTTTTACCATCCAAAAATGTGCCATTTGTACTACCTTTGTCTTTAACAATATAATGACCTCTACCAACTTTGTTAACATTACCAATAAATGATATTTCAGCATGTAACTAAAAAAGAAAAAAAATCTCAATATGTTAATTATTATAAAATTAAAATTTTAATCCCAATATTATTACTATTATATATTTAGTGAAAATAATATTATGATTATTAACCTTGCTAACATTATCATCAGGTATTATTACATCTCTATTTGTCGAACGTCCTATCGTTCCACCAGGACATGTAATTAAAAATAGCTTACCAACCAATGAATTACATGCTTTGGATTCTGTTATTATGATACGTATACATGGAGGCCATCCAACAACTTCTATAATCATACAAAAAAACATTTTAAATTAATATAGGCTAAAAATATTTTCCATCACAAAAATAGTTAAATTTAGAACTAAAGCATTTACTTGATTTAATCAATTTAGTTTGTGTATCGGAAAGGTGAGCTTTAACTTCTTTGTATGATTTCCAATTTGAATTTTTATCATCTCTTTTATTTTGACATAGGTATTGTTCTAATCGATCCCAAACTAGATTATCATACTGAATAATTTCTGATTCAATTGCAGTTAGTTGATGCTTGATTGTATACCAATTTCTTATTTGTGCATATTGTTTTGCTTTACTCTGCAAATTATGTAAGTTAGTTGTTGTGCCAATTTTTCAAATGGCTTACCAGTATGGTTTACCCCATCAGGTGTTAATTTGTGAACTATATTCTTAGGCGCTGGCAATAACTTTGTATATTGCAATAAATTCAAATAACGCTTGTCTAAAATCTAAAATATAATAAAAAAACATAATTTTAAAATAATTTCTGACATAAATAAATAATTACTTCACAAGTAGAAGGCGGACAAGGACAATCTTCAGGTTTAACTTCTTCTTTTTCATCTTTAATAGTTTTGTTTTCAATATTTAATTCTTCTTTTACTTCTTGACATTCATTAGGTTTCTTTTCAATAGTTTTTATAATAGTATCTTTAATTTCTTTTTCATTTGCTTCAGTATCTTCTTCGGTGTCTTCTTTAATAACTAAATTACTACTATCTTCAGAGTTCTCTGAATCACTGGCCTCACTAATACTTCCAGGTATATCTTGACTATGTTTTTTTTTCTGTATATTGAGCGTATTAGAAGGTAATTGAACTGTATCTGAATGAACTTGGGAATATAATCTATATTTCTGTGCAATTACATCAAAGTAATAATAACACCCTTGATTTCCATCATAAAATAATCCATTATTCTATAATTAAAAATATTCGTGTAAGGATCAAATATTGTATTTTTATGTTTTTTTTTTTTTTAAATTTATTATTATACAAGCTCTTGATCTATTTCAAGTACATAGAACAGAGTATCTCAATTAGATATTCAATGTGTACATGAATGAAGCAATTCATCTCATAATCATTAATAGATCACTAATATTTACTCAAAACTCTTTTGCACTTTTATATAAGTAATAAAATTAAAAGCACATGCAAATAATTATCTATTAGATTTTATTGAACTCAGTAATTAGGTATTATCTTTAATAGAGATCCAAAATACAATTTTAGATTAATATTCATAAAAAATTATAACAAATATCTCAACAAAAACATTACAAGACAATTCAGTTTGTTATTTAAAGAGATGTTGTCATATTCTCTTAAAATTTAATAACTTCTGTTAGTAAGGTTCTATCATTAAATGACCTTTCTTCCATTCTGTAATTTTTAATTAAATTTATCTTATATGTATTATCATTACTATATATTAATATTTAAACTTTCATCAAATTTGCTTATTTTGCTTTGACATTGATTCTAAGTTTTCTGATAAAATAAATAGAAGAAGCTGATTTTTAACTAAATTGAGTTATTTTTATTTTATCTAATTTAAGAACTTTAACTAAACTGACTAAACTAAAAATTTTAATTAACTGTAAATTATTATTTCACTGTTAGATCAAGTTTAATCCCATCGACCTTTTAAGTTTATAGGGGATAACTATCATTATTAAGCGCAATGTGTTTGTCTAGGTTAGAGAAATGTTACTAATATTCTGTGCTTTATGCTAATAGAAAATAGCTCCATGATTAATAACTATATGATCTAAATCATCAATATTTTAGTTATTAATAGTATTTTTAATAAACATAAAACATTGGTACTTAGTAAAATAAATTAAACTTACTAAATTATAATAATAGCCTGTCACTTGATCATAATACATTCCAGTTGTTTCTTCTAGTATAAAACGGCTTTCTCCCAAACTATACTGATTGACTTGTTTGGGATCTTTAGATTTTTCTTCATCTTCGCTACATTCACCTTCTTCTTTATTTTCACTTTCTGTTTTTACTGGGTTATCAACTTCTCCATTTTCAGATTTTTTAACATTTTCTAACTTTTCAATCTATAATCATAGAATAATTAATCTAGTTTTCAATAATAACATTTAATCTAAGGTAATAATTTTTTTTTTTAAATATATTAACTACCTTAATTTATCTACTTAAAAGAATAAAAATTAAAAGTACCTTTTCATATAAATATGATTTGAAGAGAAATTAAAAGAATTAAAAATAATTATGGGTTTACATTTTAAAATAATATAGATAAGTATATAATATGGAATAAAAACAAATTTTAGTTCCAAAATAAATGTTAAAATAAGATATTTTTATGCAATTAAATTTTTTTCAGAAAAATACTCTTATATTCCTTTTATCCAATAAATGCTTCTACAAAAAATTATGTATCCAGTTTTTAACATCATTATTTAAGACTTGTTGCATTAAGTGATTAATTTTACACAATAATAAATTACTAATTAGTATGTAGGTATTATTTGTATGTTTTAATAAAATAAATTAAGCTTTTTCAATAAGTAAAAATGCGTTAGCTACTGTAATAAATACTTATATTACTCTATTACAGTAGAACTCCAATTATCCGAACGAGAAAAAAAAGACACATGCCGTTATTCATACACATGTCCCATAATCGTTTAAAATATATCACATATTATAATTAAGGCTTATTTTGTTTCAGTTAAATATATAATAAAATTATTTGTTTATGGTTACGAATTTTAAATTATATTACATAATATATATTAATAATAAATACAATATATTCATACAATTATATAACTTTTGATATATCATATGTCAATCATCCGGATATTTGCTTATCCGGACCACCCTTAACATTAATTAGTCCGGATAATCGGAGTTCTACTGTACTTATATTTTATAATGAAATAAAACATCAATATTCGTAATAGGCTCTACAGACTAGAGCGATGCACAAGTGCATAAAAAACGCCAAGTTACTAACTTCCAAAAACCATAACTTCAAAACTAAGTTCAATCGACAAATTTTGATTGCACCATTGTTCTTAAATAATTTACATAGTTAAGTTCCAAAAGAAAAATCAAAAAATTTACATGGGGTGGTAAAGTGCATTTGTTCCATAAATTATATAATAACCACCATTCAATATGTCTCGCTAGATAGTCGCGATAACTGATAAGTATCATAAATTTAGTGGTAGTGTAAAATAAAATCATCCAACAATGAGTGAGTATAACTGATTCATCAGATTAAAATTCTACCAAGACAAATTGTATGTTACAATACAAACACTTTTATACTTCTCTAAAAATAAACATTTATACATAATGTATAATGTGCTATTAGAAATTATTAAAATATTCTTACATTTTACAATACATTAATATTTATAGATTTTTTATTTTATCCTTAACATGTACAATTGTTCAAACCAATATTTTATTTTATATATGTACATAATAGTTCTATATTTATAACATTCATTTTCTTAAATATTAAAAAATTGTACTCACATTATCTAAAATACCATCAGCATTTTCATTAGGTTGATTTTTAACTTCTAACTTATCTTTTTTTGTAGTTTTAACTATTTCGATATTTTGGTCAATGCTTTCAGTTTTAATGTTTGATTTCTGTTTGAAAAAATTAAGAATTATATAAGTATATTGAATATTTCTATTTAGTTTTATAAAGTGTATATGATATACAACATTAATTCAATATTACCTTTAAGTCGATAGAACTGTTGTTCTTTATGTTTTTTAAGGTAGCTAGCAAATTTTGTTGCCGTTCTAACATTCGCACGGCATTTTTTAAATACTCATAAACTTCTGGATATTTATGTTCAAGAAGATCCTTAAACGGAACTTCTACATCGTCCATCGCAATTTGGGCGGTACCTATGTCAATATATGGATCAGGATGATGGACTCTTACAATTTACATATCAAGCCGATCAATTAGCAACGGCAATATTCGGATGAATAATAAAATGATTTTGCAAAATGCAGTTTAAAAAAAAACGTGTGTTTAGTGTTTACCGTACTTGATAAAAAAATTTACAGTTTTCACTTGAATTTCCAATCTTTACACAATGAAGTAACATTGAGCACACTCGCCAATGAGCATAGCAGCATACTGCAACTACACACTACACAGTGCACACTGCACAAGGCCAGGATGACAGTTGCAGCGAATAAAAAAATTGTTTCAAGCACAGACCAAAGCGTAGAAAAAATTTTCATCCTCTTTGACAATTGATATACGAATTTTAATATCTTATCACTAATAATTTTCATAATCTCTGTGGTTAGAAAACTGAAAAACAGCTGATAAACAAATGTTTAGCAAGGTTTATAGATTGTCCGATTCCGTTCAAAGGTATTTGATAAGAATATAATATTTTTATTTTTATAATCTTGATGAATTTACTGTAATTTTTAGTTCGATAATTTGTACTTCCATTGTTTAATAATATTCTGAAATATGGTTGTTACAAACGACCTCGAGTTGCCAACATTCGAAGAGCTGACGGTGGAAGAAGTACCCATCAGCACACCAGGTCTCCGTGCTGCTGCTCATCATTTTGGTAATTTTTTACTATTATTATGAGTTATGACTATCATTATTAGCCATGGATAATTTATTTTTATATGTATTAACCGTGTTCAGGAAAATATTGTTTGGATGTTAATGATGAGTTTATGATGTGCAAACAAGAAACCAATGATCCACGTAAATGCTTGAATGAAGGCAAGGCGGTCACAAACTGTGCACTTGAATTCTTTAGAAAACTGAAAGGCAATTGTTTTGATGAATTTCAAATTTATAGCAACTGCATTGATAAATCTAGTAATCGCTTGGATTTTGAACCATGTCGTAAGACACAAGCAGTATATGATAAATGTGTGTTTGAAAAGATGGGTATTGAGCGACCCGAGCATGGCTTTTTTTGTAAAGCTCGTGTCTACACTGGTAATCGTCCAAAACCTCCTGTTGAAGAAGCACAAGTGTTTGGTGATTTGCCTATTGGTCTCAAAGACTTCAAAGAAGAAGAACGACCACCCGCAAAATATGGACAACGTAATTGGTTTATCAAGTAATTCTGTATGTTTAAAGTTTACTTGTTAGTGTTTGTTTGAAAAAAAAACAGTAATTATTATGAGATCAGAAATTGTATTTTCATTTAATTTTCTTACTGTAGACAATTGAAAGTATAAATATTTTATAATGAAAAAATAATAAATAAAATATTTATAACATGATGTAGCTATGTATAAAATATTATGAAATAATCTGCTCCAAATAATGAATACAACATTTAAAATTATTTACAAGTCAATTACAAATATCAATACACTGAACAATATTTACAAATATCTTCTATAATGGTGTATTAGAAATATCTAAAAAGTCAAATGTTAATTCAACTGGTCTAACAGATCCAAAAAAGTCTGTAATTGGAACTTTAGCAAGGTCTCTATGAAATAAGTCTACTCGTACTCCTACAGTTGAAATACAATCTTGTTTAGGACAAACGCCCAGCTGGAAAATAAAATAAATTATAGTTATTACAATGTTATCAAAATGTTAAGTATATTGAATATATAAGTATTGAAGGTGAATATGAATAATTTAAACATAAGTATTTTCTATTTAAATTAATTTATAAATAATATTAAAAATTATTTAACACAAACATAAGATAAAACATTTACTATTACTAATCAATAATAAAATACTTCAGTCTAAACATATCATTTGATATAAGAATAAAATATTAATTTATATACTATATGTATCACTAAAGACCGTAAATAAAGTGTATAAAGTATGATATACTTGTGTAAGATAAAAAACTTACAAAACTTTTCATACTAATACGACTTTTCAGTTTAACATTCTCTAAAAATTTCAATGCATAAAATGTGTAACGATCAATTATATACACTCCAATCGCTGGATCTACATGATGCTGAAATATAAAACATGAGATAAGTTTTTTAAAAGGTTAAAAATGATTATATTATAATTGTTTTCAATTTTTTTATGATAAAATATGCTTAAATCTCTTACTGAAAGAGAGTCTTCACCAACTAAACTACTAGCCATTGCAAGAATGTTAGGTGAATAAAATTTTTCATACATCGATGAAGCTTGACAAGTATCAATCATAAAGAATATTTCATGGTATCTAAGAATAAATAACACACTCTATAGTCATATTAAATTACAATATACATGGTAGTTTCCTATTTACCTTCTTTTTTGCCACATCTGTTCAAGAGCATCAGCTAATTCTTGGCTTGTAACTTCTTCAGAATCTTGGAACTTAAGAAATCCATCACCACCATGACCAGTAAGGTATATCAAGATATTGCTACCTTCATCAGTAAGCAACTGTTTTGAACGAGGCGTATCAGGAGGTAACCGACCTGTCAATAAACGTACAAAGTTTTCGACCGTTACCTAAAAATTCAAAAGTTAAAATTAATAAAAAAAAAAAATAATAATAATAATAAAATTAAAACTAAAAATAATTTTACTTCATAGCCTCTAAAATCGACTTCAACGTCATCCCCATAAACATTGAGCTGTTGGTCAGCATTATTGAATACAGTCGCAGGACTGGGATTACGAGGGTTGCATGCCATATCATCAGCAACCATTAATATTATCTGACTATAAATGCACAATATTATTAAAACCGAAATTAAATTTTAATTTGTGATGTACACATTTCATACCTATCAGGTATACCAAGACGTTTGACACTTCGGTAAATGGACAAAACATTTGCTACGTGCCTGTAATTGAACCAAAACCTTGATGTATCGACAAGAACTGCCCAATTATTCGAATGATTTGCCTATAAAAAAATTTGGGTGTGACTTTTCATACACCATCGTTTGTTTTTTTTTTTTAGAGTACTTACCTGACATACATGTTTGTTTAAGAAATTTGCACAAATTAAGAACGATAGCAAAAAATATGTATTCATATTGTGCGTGAAATTAAAAAAAAAATTAAAGCTAAGTTACAAATAATTTGTTTACTTCAGTGGTTTATAAGATCCTTATTTACCATTTTGCATATTGTTAATATTGTCATGTAATCTCTTATCTATGTCAATTGACGGTTATCTGATAACCGGTGTTTGATATTGTTGTATCTCTCTTTGATTGTATACAATTGTATATTCTAGGTATGGGCACCTTACTATAGCAGTCCTCTGACTTTTTTTTTTCATTTAGCCCGTGTTAGATTTTCAAATCACAATTTAAGAGTTGATTTGTATTTAATTTTAGTATATTTTTTAATATTAAAATATGTCGCGTAGATAAATAAACATTATAGTAGTAAATTTTTAATTTTATTGACTATTTTTTTTTTTTTTTTGCTTTCCTTACAATCTGGCTTTTGTTAGATTTTAAAATTGGCCCTCCAATTACTTTAAGTTGCTCATCCGAAATCCTTGGTTTATTTTAAGGTCGCAATGTATATTATAATATAATATATTTAATGATACAACTCGTAATTGTATGTATACAGTCTCTAACTTAATAACGCAGTAATGCATATCTAACTATGGATTAAATATAATATTATATAGGCATATACATTGGAGGGGGGATAGGAGGACTTAGCCCCTTACATTTTTTTTTTAAGTTTTTCAACTTTCTTCTGGCTGATATCATGAAATGCATACCACTGAATTGCTCTCATACCTAAGTATTTAGCTATGGGCAGTTATATATCTTTAATTTTAATTTATTATAAAGTTGTAAATCTGTATCTGAACCACGAAGTTCCAACTTAAAAATAGATCTACAGAGCTACAGACCACAGAGTAGGTAGACACTAAACATGTGCTACACTTGGATCTATGGCAAAACGTAATCAAAATCTATAGAAAATACACTTAATTTTTTTGTTTTAAAAGTTGAGAATATTTCAAAGTATTATAATCAAATTGACTTTGTTTGAATAAATATACTAGAGTGTTAATATTATATTTTTCTAATCTATATTCTATTTATCGTGACTATAGATTTTATTTAAATCTACAAGAATTGTGTGAATACATTTCCATTTTTTTTTTTTTTGTCTTCCCAATTATTTTTAAAGTATTGTGAATTTTTTACTTTTAAATCCAAAGTACCAATTAGATACAATTTGCTACCATTAATCATAGATACATTTATAACATTTTTTTCTGCTTCCTACAAAAACATTTATTTTAATGACTTAAGAATGCACATTGTTTTTTAAGTGTAAATTATTACATTTATCCTGTTCATTATATACTCTACTTAAGATCTAAAATATTAAATAAACCTTACCATTTATACTTTGATAAGCTTCTGATGTATTATCAATATAAAATACATATCAATATTGAATAGTTAATACAAATGCTAATAAATATATTTATTATAAAAATGTTGAATTGCCAAACATTTTAAGTAAATGTATGTCTCAATTAATAAGGAATAGGTAATAATAATAATCCTAACCTTGCTCCAATTTGCGACAAAATGGAAGGCAACATTAAAAATAAAAATGATTTCTCGAAATTTTCTAAACTGATGCGACACAATATTTAAGTTTCTGAATATATAACCATAATTTATTGTATTCACTAAAAAGCTAAACGTCAAAAGGCATCTGTCCTGTTCTTGTTTTGACAATTTATTTATTTGTTGAGAACGTGACAATTTATAGTTGAAAATATAAAAATACAATTTATAAATATATTTTCATATTCAACAACTCAAAGTTATATTCATTGTTAATCACAACTATTGGAAGATTTACTATCATAGATTTATTTACGTGTATATCTAAATTTCAAATTTAATTTGACTCAAAAGTTAGTACCTAGATTCTAATGACTATAAATTATAATGGTGAGTAAAAATAACATAAATAATTAATAAGATTATGTAACTTATCTTTTAAATAATACATTATTTTAAATCTCTTTAGCTCATATGAATGGACGAATTATTTAATTTATAAACACAAAATGGGATAAATTGTATAATTGTATAGTATCTACAAGATACAAGCCTACAACGAACATTTATAAAATGAATGAGTATGATTAAAATATGCTTTCTGTAATAACTAATAACAATATATTTTGTAGCACGTTGATCGAAACTATACAATACAAAT